CTCCCACCCGCTCTCTCTGAGTCATATGTGAATTGATTCCCTAAAAGTAAAGAAATATGACTGAGTAACAACAGAAAGTTGCCTAGAGAAATATCTGTAAGTTATGCATGGAGAATTCCTCTTTTTTGTCATACATATCTCCTCATCCTTCTGTGTAGAATTCATTTAAATCTACTCTCTATTCATACAGATAGAGGAAACCTTTCCAGAGATTTTTTTTACAAGTTTGTAGAAAGAATGATGGTTTTGCTCAGATGATGCCTTTAGGCTTGCAAATGAGGTCATGATAGGAAATAGGATCCTTGGATTTCCTTCAAGGTCTCAAAATGCACCCTTTCATCCAATGTCTACTCTTTCTCTTCTCAACTTTCAGTGATTGGCCTATCCTGGAAATTAATCCATAACCAAACAACCAAACAGTCAAGCATTATTTCAGAACCCATCTATGAGAAAGTCTCTGTGCTCAAGGTACTTCAGGGTACCCAAGAATTGGACTTGCATTGAAATGGTAGTACACGGACAGAGTCTTCCTTGTGGAAAAAATACCAACACATGGCAATGTCATAGAAGAGTGCATTACTCTTGAATCTTTTGAGGTATAGAATTTGGATGGATGAACAGGCCTGACAGGCAATCCAAGTGGAGCACTGAGCAGATGAAAGGCACTGAGGCCTGGGGAGCAAAGGAGAGGATCAGTGTGGCTAGATTCTCAGAAGACAGAAGGAAGGGAAAGAGGTCAGTTGGACAGGTTCAGAATCCCAGCTCTACCACTCATTCTCTGTGTGCAATTGTTTAACCTGGTTTAATTAATAATTACTCTCACAGTGAGAATAATTCATTGCACTTGCTATGCTTCAGAAACATGAGAATAACCTATGAGAATCAAATAGGAAAATGCACATAAAATATTTAGCATAGTACCAAGCACATAATAAATGCTTAATAAGTGTTTGCTATCATGATAATTATTACTACAACTTCTCTGACATAGTAAATGTTTACTACTACTAAATACCAGAAGACTCTACAGAGCAAGTGAGGAGTCTTTGTGAGAAAATCTCTAAAGACCCCTTGAAATGTGAATTCTTACCTGAAGACAGTAAAGAGCTATGGAAAATGTGAAAACATTCTGAAGTAGAGCAGGCAGATGTCTTTTAGGACGTTTACCCATGTCCCAGTGTGGAATAAATGGATCCCTGCCTGGAGGCAGCAACCTGCATGGAAGCCCATAGAAGTACATCAGAGAGGAAGAGTCGTGGAGCAGTAATTCCCAAGGAAGAACTGTGACCATAGACACAGGATGCAAGGTAGAGGAGATCTGGCTGGGTGTGAGGTGGCAGGCAGAGCAGAACTCGGGTTTGGAGTAAGGAAGGCATGAGAATGATTACAGGGTGATAGTGAGTGGCCCAGGGAGCAGGGGGTATGGAATAGGCAAGATCAAGGCTGCTGACAGTGTTTGACCATTAAAGACACCCTGGGAACCACAAGGGCGACTCAGCTATGACAGGAAGTGGGAGTCGCTGTCTCCTTCTTTCCTCCTTTTCCCAAGACTCCCCTCTTCCCAGGAACTTTCTGAGAGAGGCCCAACCATACTGTGAAACTTGGATCACCTTCAGCTTTCAACAGTGCTAGTGCCCAGCAACACTGAGAAGCTGTTTAGCTCTTATAGATGCCTTTTATCATAATATTGCTTGGCATTCTTTTTTCTGAGGTGGTCTCACTAAGTAGTTCAGGCTGGCCTTGGACAGCTTTTGTAGCCCAGGCTGGCCTCGAACTTATGGCGATCCTCCTGCCTCAGCCTTCTGAGTGGTGGGATTACTGGCTTCTTTTGCTGTTTAATTAAAATTAAAAATTAATTTTGTAAAGGAGAAAAATATATAATCAATCACTCCCATTAACCAAATATAACCACTGTTAGCATTGTTAATATTTTGTGCTTTTATTTCCATCTTTTTCCTTGTCTGCTTTTTCCTCAGCACTGGGAACTAAACCCAGGGACTGAAGTGTGCTAGGTTACAACTCTAGCCTCATCTAATATTTTCTTTCTTTTCTTATGGTGCTGATCATTAATCCCATGAAGCACTGAGCAGCAAAGCTATTCCTTTTTCTTTTCTTTTACTTTATTTTATTTTTTAACTTTGAGATAGCCGCTTTCCATTCATTATCCTCCTCAGTATCTGGGATTACAAGTGCATACCACCACACTGGCTTGCAAGATTTTGTACCTATCATATTATAAATCAGTTTCATATGTAGTAGTAAGAATCACAAAATAACTGCCTATGTTTCTGAGTGATAAGATGTCCTTGCATGTTATTTTATTTTCAAATCTTTTAGTTCCACCATGATCAATGCATAGTTTATTAAAAGTAAAACTATGCAAATGTCACACTTGACATTTGAATGTCTCTGACATTTTTCTTCTTCTGTGATCCTATGAAAATATTTATACATCGTATATTAGCATCCACAAAGTAGAGGAGGTAGCATACTGAGTTTCAGTGTATTCATTCCTGACCATTTTGTAGCAGTTACTAACAATTTACCAGTTTTGCATTGCATATTCCTCTCTCCTTTTATAGAGTATCTTAAATCAAGTTCAAGACTTTTGTTCATCCATGAAACCTCCAGTATCTGTGCCTGACTGCTAAAGGGATATGAAAGTACATGGCGATTGTACTCTTAGTAAAGACCACAAGGTAAAATAATGAAAGACGCTGTTGACATTTCAAGAGTAATCAGGTGGGAGGGCTGGAGCTGAGACTACAGGGAGGGACCAGGAACTTTCTGAGAGAGGCCCAGCCATACTGTGAAACTGCTGCCTCCCAGTCTTCCCTTGATCACACGACAGGGCAAGGACACAGCCCATGCCAGCAGCACTGCCCTCTGCTGGGGTGGCTCCGTAAGCCTCACGAAGGGCTCACCCTGCTGTTCCCTGTTCAGTGCTTTTCGTAAGGCCCTCGAACCTATCTCTTCACATCATCTCCTACAGAAGAGTTCTCCGGGCTTCTCCACCGCTTATAGAGACATTTTTCAAATGGTCCCAGGCATCATGATAGCTGCAGACTAAACAGGGTACATCTTCCTGAAGCATAACTTTTACACCAATATTGGAAGATAAATATGAGATTTATATGAAGATAAACATGACTATATCAGGTACTATAATAATCCCTTAGATAATCTAGATAATTCTATTTTAGATTCATCTACTTGCCTAGCATGGTGATGTACACTATTAATTCCAGCATACAGGAGGAGACTGAGGCAGGAGGATCGCTGTGAGTTCAATGCCAACCTGGGCTACATACGTGAGTTCAAGGCCAGGCCAGCTTGTAGTACCTAAGGAGACATATACATATATGGTGTTTGGTAGAGATCTTTTTATCAATAGGCATTCAGTTCCTCAAAAAAAAAAACACATCAAGACAATTGCTACTGTCCCTTCCGTGAATCAAGCTGAAATCAGAACTCTTTTTCAGTTTTATTGTCTTCACAGGGTAGGATGCCATGACAAATTTTCCTGAATTAAAAATAGTTCCAGAAGTGTATAACCTAAGGGGAAAATTGGTGTTTTTTTTTTTTTTGCTTTTTTAATTTTTATTTTGAAAGTAGTAAAAATACAACAGAAAATACAGAACAAAGCCAATCAAGACAACGCAGTGAAGTTGGTACAGAACTTCACAGCAGGGTACATAACAGGAACAGGTACCATGGTATATCTCGTTATCTTCACAATAGTTGTCTAGTCAGTTAGGTATAGCAAAATCAAATAAAAACAGAGCATTACAAAACCATTCAAAAGAGAGTATTGAATAGAATAATACAATTAATTGTAATGAAACAAAAGAGTGAAAAAAACATTTGCCTGTAAACAGAAGATGTAAGGAAATCCCCCATATTTGCTATATTGCATACGGTCAGCCTCCCAAGACATGCTCAGACATCTGTCCCCAGTTGCTAATCGGGGTGGGGGGATTTGATTTCCAGCCCACGTGCGGGTAGGCTCACAGAAGCCACTGACTGGGTCTCCTCCTGCCTTGTGCCCAAGGGAGGCACTTACCAAGAGGGCGGGCGAGTTGCCTTCTTCTGCAGCTGCCTGGGCCGATTCTCTGGGAAAATACTTCTTAACACCAAAGAACTCCATTTAGTTTTTCCATGACTGTGCTCTTACTGAACTGAATTTTAGATATATATTTATGCCTTATTTTCTATATTGCATAATACCTCAATCTTGCCAAAGTTTTATAAACCACAATATCTTCAAAAATTTCCCAAAGATTGTTTAGAGATGTGTGTTTTATAAAATATTCACTTAAAATTATAAAGATAAAGCATAAGAATTTGAGGAAATTTTGTCCTGCTCCTGAGTATCTTTACATTATCTCCCATAGATAGCCCATGGCTTTGAAAGTCATTAGAGAAGCATTTATGTAGACAAGTGTGAGAACCCATAACTACCCAGCTCCACTACCCCGAGGTCTTCTACTAGCCTTTCTTTGCACTGATGTCTTAATTTGTAGATGACAGTTTCTTCTAACACATCTTTGTTGCTTCAGTAATGAATGATAGGCATCCTCTCAAGTTCTATGATGAAAAAAATGTTTTCTGTTCATCTAAAACCTTTAGTCTTAATAATATCTCAAGATTTACACATGAGCATTGATGAAATTTGTGTGTTGATTCACTCATTCATTCATTTATGGATTCAAGTAGACTCGTGGAGCCTGTGATTCACAAGACATAATGTTCAGTAGAGCAAGTAGGAAAAAGAATCAGACATAAGCCTAGGGACAAGGACAACATGATCCAGAGGGGGAAAACCTTCCCATAATGCCTGTCATAATGGAGAGCAGAGTGGAGGGGGAAAAAATCTGTGGGAGCTTTGAAAATGTATGCATGCTTGATCATCTCACTCTTGACCCTTCAATGAAAAGCCACAGACTTGTCACACTTTGTTTTGTGTTGCATGGTATCTCTAGGCAGAAGGGGAAGACCCCATGGGACCACAGAACAACACATGGGTGGCAGAGTTTATCCTCTTGGGTTTCTCACAGATCCAAGATCTCCAGAAATTCCTGTTCCTGCTGTTCCTTCTTGTCTATGTCATCACAGTTGTAGGAAACCTCCTGATCATGGTCACAGTGACTTTCGACCCGCGGCTCCACACACCAATGTATTTTCTGCTCCGAAACCTGGCTGTCATCGACCTCTGCTATTCCACAGTCACCTGCCCAAAGATGCTGGTGGACTTCCTTCATGAGACCAAGACCATCTCCTACCAGGCCTGCATGGCCCAGATCTTTTTCTTCCACCTGCTGGGAGGAGGGACTGTCTTCTTCCTCTCCGTGATGGCCTATGACCGCTACATAGCCATCTCCCGGCCCCTCCACTACCTCAGCATCATGAACACTCGCCTGTGTGTGGGCCTGGTGGTGGCGGCCTGGCTGGGGGGCTTTGTCCACTCCATCGTCCAGCTGGCTCTGATGCTGCCCTTGCCTTATTGTGGCCCCAATGTCCTAGATAACTTCTACTGTGATGTCCCTCAGGTGCTCAGACTAGCCTGCAGCGACACATCCCTCCTGGAGCTCCTCATGATCTCCAACAGTGGACTGCTGGTGCTCATCTGGTTCCTCCTCCTTCTTGTCTCTTACACTGTCATCCTGGTGATGCTGAGGTCTCACTCAGGGCAGGCGAGGAGGAAGGCAGCTTCCACCTGCACCACCCACATCATCGTGGTGTCCATGATCTTTGTCCCAAGCATTTACATCTATGCTCGGCCCTTCACTCCCTTCCCCTTAGACAAAGCTGTGTCCATCAGCTACACGGTCATGACTCCCATGCTCAACCCCATGATCTACACCCTGAGGAATGGGGAGATGCAGGCAGCCATGAAGAGATTAGGCAAGCGGCTGATGATTTGCAGCAGAGAGTGAACTTTCCATAGCTGGGCTTTGTATGACAAATCTTCTCTCTGAACTTATGCTGTCTGTCCCATGTGCAAAATGGAAGATCTTTATAAAGTACAAATCAGATTATATGAACATTTCCTGTGGGACCACTGCAGTGTTAGGTACTGTGTTAGACACTTGCACACATTTCTATCATAAAATTGACAGTGGCAATATTATTATTAAAGTTTTATTTTTTATTTTATTTTAAAGAGGGTAAAATTAAACACAACAAAACAGAACATAAGAAAGCGATGTAAGAGACATAAATTTCAAAGCATGACAACCGGAGATCTTCACTATCTATCATACTGTCTTTTGTTTTCTTCCAAATAGTTGTCCATATCTTCATATACAGAGAATTCATACAAAACAACATGGTACAAACTGATCTGAACAGTATGAGGAAGGCATTTTAGGTCTTCAAGACCAGACAATAGGGAAGTCAACAGTGGCTGTCGTAGTGTCTTTCATTCTCTTCAAAATAGCTGTCCATATCTTTATGTATGTTGAAATTAAACAAAAAATAGACTAAAATCACTCTGAACAAAGAATAATAGTATTGCTGGATTTCACATCATGATGCTACAGAATCAGCACTGGGTATTATAGTATCTCTTTTTCTTCAAAGTGGTTGTTCATTTCATCATGTGTTATATAATCAGTTCTCATAACTGTAGTTTCTATGCATGCAAGAGTCTCTACATGTATTTCTATCCTTTCTGTATTAGACAGAAAAACAAAACAAAGCAAGACAACACAAAACAAATTACTATAAAAACATGAAACAAAAGTCATATAAAACCACAGTACAAGGTGATCTACAATGGTTACTGTATTGTCTCTTGTTACCTTCAATAGAATTGCCTATATCATCAGACATAGTATAATTGAATGTAGCAGTACATAAAAATATTAATAAAAATGAAACATTGTAGACAGTGTAAAACTTCAAAAGCAGGTAATAATCAAACAAGAGTGGGTATCCTAGTGAATCTTGTCATCCTCATTGTAATTGCCTATACTTTCAGACTTGACACCATCAATCATAACAGATTCGAATAAAATCCATCAATATAAAACAGCAGTCTAATAAACCAAATTCAAATAAGATCAGTCATGATAAAACTGTAAGTTATACAGGGTTCCAGATTAAGTTAATAGGAAATTAAGGATGATTACTGTACCATATCCTGCTATTTTTGGGGTAGCTGTCTGTGCCCTCAAATCTAGTACAAGTAGACAAGCTAGAACAGAATATAATCCATCTAAACAGAGCGGTGTGAGTAATGTGGGTTTTAAATCCTGATACACTATTAACAATATCCTCTGCCTTCTTTTTTTAGACTATTCCTCCCCTTTTACTCCCACAGGGTGCACTGCACATTTTGGGTCCCACCAACTGCCTCAGTTTTTAGACTGGGGGGCGGGCAACTTGCTATTTTTCTAAGTAGTTCTGAACCTTCTCACTCCTGGACTTGATCTCAAGTTGTATTCATTTACCTACAAAAGCATCAAGGTTTTCCTTCACTATAGCTAAGTAGCTCTCTACTGTACATAAGTATCCTGTCTTTCCAACCTATCTGCAGGTGCTGGTCAAGTTGCCCCTATTTCTCTCTGGTTCCCTGTCACATAGAGCCTTGTTTTCTCATATTTGATTTTAAGCCCATAATCTCTGTGGACCCTATCTCCTGATCTACTCTGCCTGTGTTTCTTTTTTTCTTAGTGTATCAAGCCATCTATGTTAGAGATTATAGCCAACCTTCTCTGCCTCACTTCTGTTATGCTATTTTTCTGCTACTGGTTGTCTACTTCTCTCCTTCATTCCACTGTCTGCCCCATTCATTGAGACCTCTCTGCCACTGATCCTGAAATCCTGGTATTTTCTCTCTCTCTCTCTCTCTCTAAAATATACTTCACTATTCTCTGTAGGGTTGGATTGGTGGTCATGAATTCCCCAGTTCCTCTTTGTCATGGAAGCATCTTGTTTCTCCATTAATTTCTAAAGACAGTTTTTCAGAGTAAGTCAATCTGGGCTGGAGGTTATTTTCTTTCAGGGCTTGGAATACTTTGCTCCAAGCTCTTCTTGATTTGATGGTCTGTGTTGAGAAGTCTGCTGTGATTTTGATGTGTTTTCCTTTATAGGTGATTTGTTTTTTTCTCTGATGGCTTTTAATATTCTGTTCTTATATTGAATTTCTGGGATTTTGATAATTATATGTCTGGGTGTAGCTCTGTTTTGGTTGTAGCTTGCTGGAGTTCTGTGTGCCTCATACATCTGAGTATCATTTCCTTTTCCTATGCTTGGAAATTATTTCTGTGAATAGCCTTTGTCTTTCCTCTGTTTTTATCCCTGCTTCTTCACTCACATTTTTTATTCTTTTTTTTTCTTTTGAAAGTAGTAAGATACAACAGAACAAGACAGAATAAAGCCAACTGAGACTGTGTAGTGAAATTGGTATAGAACTTCACAGAAGGTCACCGGGATAACAGTAATAGGTATCACAGTATATTTTGTTATCTTTACAATAGTTGTTCTTTCAATCATGTATATCAAAATAAAATGAAATACAGAACATTATAGAACTTATCAAAACAGAATATTGAATAGAGCAGTACCATTAATCAGAATAAAGTAGAACAGTTATAAAAATGTTTGCCTTCAGAGAGATGGTAGAAGGAAATCCCCCTTATTTCCTATTCTCAATCTCCCAAAAGATGCTCAGATTTCTGGTTCCCATTTGCTAATGGGGGGCAGGGGAAGGTGGATAGGGGAAGTGGGATGTTTGACTCTAGGCCGTGCACCAGTAGGTTCACTATTGCTCAGCAGGGAGGCAGACTGATTGCTTGGTTTCCCAGGGTCCTAAGTTCCAACATGGCATGGATCTCAGGAGACACTGGTGGGTCTCCCCCTGGAAGGGCCGCAGTCTGCCACACCACTGCTGCTTACCAGGGAGGCGAGCTGCTTGCTTCACATTTTTTATTCTTAAGTTTCATCTTCTAGCCTTTGTATTGTTACTGCCTGTTTCCTTGTCATTTTTAAGAGATCTTTCCTTTCTTGATCATGTATTGCAAACCTATCTTCAAGTTTTTATAGTCTATCCTTAGTTTCTTTCAAGCAGTTTTGCCAACTTTCAATGGAGTTTTTTAATTTCCTGGTAATCTCTTTGAATCTGCTTCATGTTTTCTAGGTTTTCTTTATATTCTTCATCAAATGTTCTCTCCTTTTTTTTATTTCTTCCATTCTTCTGTCTGTGTGCTTAGCATTTCTTTGAGAGGTGCTTAGCATTTCTTTTATTAATCTTCTTATATCTTGCCTCAGTTGAATTAATATTTCAGTCTTGAGCTTGTCTATGAGGTCACAAAGGTATCTCTTTTATGTCAGCTGATATCATGTCTGATATTGCATGTTTGCTGCTGTCAGTCTCTTCTGTATTTACCACTCCTGGATCAATACTCACAGGGTTAGGGGCTGCAGGCTTTTTCTTATTTCTTTCTCTTGTCATGTTTTTGGTTTCTTCTATACAAGTGTATAGTGGAGGCCCTAGCCCCTTTCCTTGTTGGTTATGGTTCTTCTAAAGCATGCTGGCTAGGAATTTCTGCTCTCTCCAGTTTGCTTTGGTCATTGAGGTGCAAGCAGGGGTGGCATATGCTGGCCTCACACCTCCAGGACAGTCAACCTGTGGGGGCCTTCACCACATTGGTGTGTGCCCAGTGTATGGGATCGGTTTGGGGCAACTCACTGGGCCTTGGCCAGAGGCATGGCCCAGGTCAAGCACTTCCCACCAATCTGTAGGGAGCAAGTGATTGAAGTCACTGCCATTCCTTGTTCATTCCTACATGTCATCCAATTGGTCTCCCCTTTCCCGTGGAAGGGTCTTATTCCAAGCACTCACTACAGGTTATTGCAGGTCCCTCACTGGTTCCATTCTCCATTGGGCTTGCTGACCCCTGACTTCAGTACAACCATGGCTCTGGTAAGTCTCAGTGGCATGAGTTTGGGTGGCTCCAGCGAGAGCACTGTGGCTGCTAATCTTAGCTGCTCCAATGGTAGCCCCAGGACTGAGTGTTTGACCAGCTCCTTTCCCTTTAGTTTCTTCCTGGGTTGAGAGGATCCATCTGTCTCTGTTTCTCCAGGGTGTTTTATTCTGCATCTGAATTGTTTCTCTTAGGGAGGCTCTGTATCCTGCTGCTTACTGATCCACCATTTTTAGCTCCTCCTCTACTAAACAGCTTTAAATGAGAAAACTTGAAGAGTAGTTACTTACTCAAAGGTAAACAGCAAGTGAGTAGCAAAATTTAGTTCACCCGACTCTAGGTTTAGAGGCAGAAATGAATAATATTTGCAGCTTCAGTTGTCCCACAAGCACAAGGGAAAAGCTCGAAAGTTCCTCATGTGTAGGTGAATATCTGTGATGCGTGGTCAACTGTCTCATCTTAGCTCTAGAATGTTCACATTGCCTTCTCCTCCCTGTGGCACTGCCTCATTGCCAGCATGTTTCCCATAATGGCATTTGCTCTTTGTTTTATTTCAGCTTTATCAAACACTTCTTGAATAGTTTTCAAAACATGCTATGTACTTGCTATGACTTTAATGTGCTCCCCACCAAAGTTCATGTGTTTGAAAATTTTTTTTTGTCTTTTTGAGACAGTCTCGCTATGCAGTTCAGGCTGGCCTTGAGCTCACTTTGTAATCCAGGCTAATCTTTATTTTTTATTTTATTTTTTTGTCCTTTTTTCTTTTTATCGGTACCGGGGAGTGAACTCGCGACTACCTGCATGCAAGGCAGGCGCTTATGCCACTGAGCTAAATCTCCAGCCCCTATCCAGGCTAGTCTTAAACTTGCAACAATCCTCCTGCCTCAGTCTCCCAGGTGCTGGGATTATAGGCATGAGTCACCACACTTGGCTCCATGTTTTTGAAATTTAATCCTCAAATTTACAATGATGTTTGGAGGATGGACTTTGGGAAAGTACTTAGGGTT